TCTTGACACAGAGATCAGAAAGTTGCCAGAAAGTAACCGGCAATTTACTCCTTGGTTAAACACTTGGAAGCCACAGAGCCCCATCACCAGCAGCAAATCCATCAGAGAGAAATAAATGCTGACAAAGACAGGGGACAAGAGAGAAAGAAAAGGAGAATCCATCTAAACCTCTTAGGCTCAAACAACCTTCCCGTCACACTCGGGGGGGCGGAAATCCCTGAGGTGTGTAATATGAAACAGCATGTTAATGCTAGAACTCTTCCCTTTGAACTCATTTATAGGTATTAAAAGGCCCTGTTGTGATAACCCCCATCACCGCCTCACCTGACATCCCCTGCACTAAAATATTCTCTCATCTCCTCTCTTTTCATCATTTCACTCCTTTGGTCTCTTTAGCCCTACTGCCCTCCCACCATATGGATTTTCAGAGAAAGAATTTACTTATATTGCTTGTTTGTCAGTACGAAAACTGTAAAAAAAAAATACAGATGATCATGTTCAGAGTTTGAAACCAGTTTGTCTGTCGGCAGGGACATGAAGTTGTTAAAGTTATGCCTTGAACTGCTGAATTTCTGCACAGCATAGATACTGTTTGACTGCAAGAGGCAGCTTGCCAGGAAACATAAACAGGATTTACAAGCCTTATCATATATAATTATTTTTCCTCTTAAGGAGCTTAAATGGCCACATGCTGTATATTTCCAACATTTTTAATCACAACATACTATAGATTTTCCACTGTTCTAATCTAACACCAAGCAAATCTGGCCCAAAACTGAGCTTACTGTGTAAAATTAAAAGATGCCCACCTTCTTCTAGGTGTAGAATTAGGGTGCAGCCAATGTTGGTGTTTAAATATGGAGATTTTCTGGACTGCCACGCTGCCTCATGAACAATTAAACCTTGTATATCCAACCCGTTCTCATCAAATACTGCTGTATTGTCAAAGCCTCTGGCATCTGAGACATACTCATGGGGTGTCTTTTGCCGTCTGTGTCCCCCTTGTGCTGATATTTATAGCAGTTTTTCCCCTTTTAAAGGAGATTGGAGTACTAGAGGTCGTATAAATGACAGGACTTTATTGTAACTTAGGTTTTGTTAACTTCGGCACCAAAACTACCTGGTTAAGTTTAGGAAAAGGTCATGATTTGGATTAAAATACATGCTTTGTCTACATTTATCACCGATTACAAGGTAAACTTCTTGTTACATAAAAAAAAAAACAGGATAGAGAACATTTGACTCCGGCATCTATTTCTGATGTTCAGGGATGTTTATATCTCTATTGGGCTACCCTGCGTGTTAATACACTATATACTTAGATTCCCCTCGGAGATCTTAAATCGTTATTAGCTGATGTTGTTTTATGATTCTTGTAGCTGCTCTTATAAATTCCTTGCTCATTGCATTGTGATGTTTCAGTCTGCTGATTGTGTTCTCGTGAATGTTTCTTTCTCTCAGGTCTCTCTGAAAAGAGATTCTAATCTGAATGAGACTGCTTGATTAAATAAAAATGGATTTTCTAAAAAAAAAAAAAAAATTTAAGTGCAAAACTGCATTCTTCCAGCCACTTTGCATATTCCAGGATAGTCAAAGAACTCAAGGTAATCAGATAAATGTAAGTGAAAGACAGAACAGAATAAAAGAGAATGATAGCATATTCTTCGATTTATAATCTCCTCGATGTAAAAATTCAGTCACGTATAGACTTAATTCTGCCTCATCTGTCCATTATAACAAAGCAAACACAGTCTATGTAAGATACACAGTTTAAACTGAATACAATTTACTTTACCGCTCATTCGTCTGTGTGCCAAGTAGAACGTAGCACACAACTTTGTTAGGCGAGACTTGCTCTAGATACTGCTGTAATTATGTGCCTAAAATACAAAGTGCAGTAGTTCAGCATTAGCCCACTTGGTTATGAGGCACAAGTTCCAATAGATCTTTGAAATGTTCTTTTGCTTGATGTGGAACATTGAACTCAGATCAGGTCTGTTTTTGAAGAGCAGACTAACAAGGACCAGTGCCACTAATCAACAGTTTGCTACACAGATAAAACTGAACACTCACTGAATTACAGGTTCATGTTTAAACAGAATTTCCTTTTGTTTCTTTTGATTTAGATTTTTTTTTTTTTTTTTTGCTTGATTTTAGTCTGACCTCAAAATTACTCCAAGGACTGGGTAGACTTGAGAAGGTGCGGTTCCACCTGTCCACCATATGTTGCCTGTGGTGAGCCTGGTTGCTTAGTTACAGATGATGGGATGCCACCGACTGATCACAGGAGCTTTGTGAAAGTATTCTGACATCATTGTCTGTGCCGACAGATAACATCAAATAAAGTGTTTTGGTGTCCAGTAAGGTGCGAATCTATAGAAATGTGCAGTTTACGAGTGTAGCCGTATTGACATTGCGGCGGCCGTTCGAATAATAGATTTGTGAATGAGAAAGCAAAGACAGTAGAGAGCAGAAGAGAGAGATAGAGAGGCCCAGAGACACACAAGGGTGATTATCTCTGCTGTGTAACACACAGGATTGGACTCAAGATGAGCCTCTCCTCTGGCACAAATTTATCTATGTTGTCAGGTGTGCCTAGACGATTACCCACCATGCTGTGCTGCTCTGTGGCAACTCCCTCAGTGGGAGTCAAGTTCTCACACAAGACCTGAGCCAGGAAAAGAATGGCAGCCTATTACTCACAGCCTCGTCCTTATGTTCACTTCAAAGTCTGATGGACAACATAACCTTATCTATTGACTCATGGCTGGCTGCTGTTATTATCCCTTATTATCCATCCCTGTCTATTTGTTTTGATAGGGACTGGAGGGCTAAATGCTTTTATGCCGACATATATAAACTAAATATGATGGGATAGGAGCAATAGAGCAGATGGCTATAGCCGCGTGGCCACTACTACTATAAAAGCATTTATGACTTGAACATTTCATTTGCAGTTAATTTTTTACAATATGTGTATCTTCTTTCAAAAAAAGATAGGATTTCAAGTAGAGCTATAAAAAAAAAAAGTGCTATTGATGTTGGTTCACCTCAAAAGAATCAGAGTTATGTGTTTGAAGCAGGTCTTAATAATACAAAAAAAAAAGACAGCTCAGTTTGAACAATTCATCTGATGTTGAAATAATTTACAGCAATGAGTTTGACATTTCGGTTCAAGAGGAGTTTTTAAAGTTGGGTTTTGGCTCATTTGCTTAACGCAGCACATGGACTGAGAATCACGTTGTGTTCAAAATGTTTGAGGTCAACGCATGAAGTGTTTTCCTCCAACTAGAAATGAATAAGTAAAGAAAATGGAATCTGGTTGCCTCTCATCACTGAACGTTTTAATCGGCGGTCAGCTTCGTGCTCCACGGTCTCTTTTACCTCAAAGCTCTTGTATCTGTCCGTACAATCTCCCTTGAGGCCATCCCGGTTGAAATGAAGATCTACTGCCTTTATTGATCTTTTTTCTCAGCATGTTCCATGGAGGCAGGTAGTGTTGACTGGTGGCACCTCGGGTGCTTGAGATGAAAGCACGGGCCCATTTCAGCCAGCTGCGGGGTAATTGATTTACATTCGTCATTTAAAGTACGTACTCAGATGAAACTTGTTAACCGAATGATAACTTGGACACATTTTGTTAATGCACAGTGTTTGGATGAGATATCGTCTATGTAGAAGCGCGCTAGAGGCCTATTCAGTTCCATGTTGCACGATAAAAACAACCCCCTTGATTTACACAATGTTCAGAGGAACATTGACAAGTCTATTGATGTGTACGATGCATAATATATTCTCTGAAAACAACAGTTATTAAACTTCATTGGTGTCTTGAGATGCAGAAGGAAGATAATTAAATTAGCCATAAGATCAACACCTTGCAATAACTCAGATCTTTTTTTTTTGTGGAGTTGTGCCAGTGATTCATATACGTTTCCCTCTCGAATGACTCTTCAGGGGTTAAGAACTTAAAACATGAAAAGCGCTTTGATTGGAAAGTGTAGGCAAACATAAAAGAACCTCCCACGAGCTCTTTTATTCTTGTTTATTCATGTAACTTTTTACACTCTGCGACAATAACGTTCACAAAGCAAAGCGCTGTCTGTCAAATCAGGAGAGGGAGAGATGGTCAACTGTGCCGAAGCTCATGAAAAAAGCCTTACAAATCAAATACTTACACCGATGCAACACTGGAGAGATGAAACACAAGCGGAGATTACCAGGTGACCTCATGTTGTTTATAGAACAAATTAGTTGTAACAGCTAATTATGAAGCTAAAATCTTAAAAAATGACACTTTTGTAAACCCTAATGCTGCTTCTTTTATTATCAGTAGTAGCTGTAACAATATAATTTAATATCAGCAATAATCTCAAGTCAAGATTTGGTCAGCTTGTAATACATTCCCTTTCATCCCACATATTCCATGACAATGTGACATGCAGTTGTCAGAGTACAAACGCCGCGACTGTTATCTCCGACCTATTGCTGTCACCGCTGTCCCACAGAGTTTGATCCCTGCAGTGACTCACATCTCAGGTGGACCCACAGGATTATCCAAACAATGCTAAAACTGGGACATAAGGATTAGCTATAGCCCTGTAATCCCCAGTGGAGTTCCCACCACCGCCAGCAGTCCAACCCCTCGAAACCATTTACCTGTAGAGGTTTGTTGAAGATCTGAAGTCTTGTTGAGTTACTCGGTGTCACATGGAGGGAAAAAAAATGGTCAGCAGAATTTTTGAGAAATGTGAGATGCTCAGCTGAATAAAGGTTTTTTCTTCCCCCAGAAACATGCAAATCAGCTGTCAGAAAATTACCAAATTGCAGTTTTTTATAATTATAGTCCAATGATGGTTTACCTTGTGTTGTCAATCATCTTTGCCTCTATCATGCTAGACTTCACTGTCCTCGTCCTTTTGAAAAATACACTTTGCTTTTCTCAGAATTTGCTACACACCACAGCTATTTAAACATGTGATTATGTCCCGTTTTTCCAGGATCACTACCACTGCTGCTTGTATGATGGACCTCAGGAGGTATCCGCTGGACGAGCAAAACTGCACACTCGAGATAGAAAGTTGTAAGTATCTCCTTGCTTTATTCATGAATTATGCTCCACTGTTGTTTGCTGATATTTTGTTTCTCGCCTGCACTGAACTGAGTGGTTCGACTGCATAAAATTGTAAATATATGTCTGGCTTTTTCAAATATATGCTGTTCAGCCAGTATCTTTGTCGACTGACAGAGCCTTAGCTTTGTTCACTCAGCTGTCAGGAACCATGTGTAACTGGCCTTGCACTGGGTCCCAACAATTTGTGATTTATTTGACTTTGGTGCAAGGATTTTCTCAGAATTTTAATATTTTCAACATAATCCTTTCCATCCAATTTACAGTATTTCCCCTGGTAAAAGCAGAAGCCTTCGTTTCCACCTAAATATACCCTCGGCTTAGTATCATTGTATTTATTCATGTAAATGCTGTAAAGATATTTTTTTTTTATTCCACAAAAATTGGTTCCAGGAAGATTTTTATTTCATTAATTTTTTTCCCAAATGCACTGATATGGCACACAGACTCCGACAAAACAGTGGGAATTTAAGTAAAATGATTTTACTCTGTCTGATTTGTATTTTGGTATCGATGGTCTGAGATTAACACCAGATAGACCTCATCAAACGAGCTACTTGTCACCGCTCAAGTACCTCTACCTTCTCTGGAGCTGTACTTTGTGTAATGGGCACCGTCTATGGTGCTGAAGAGATAAACAAGAGCTACTGCTAATGCTCACAGGTGCAGCCTAGTATCAAATGACAACAATTTACAACAAGTACATCGTAAGTGGCGTCCTACGGGTGCTGTGGCATCTCTCAGGCACCTAGTAACCACGACAAACGAGGTCCTAAAGTTTCTATAGGTCCTCAGGCTTTTGTTGTGCCCTTGTTAGTTTCTTGTAGTTTTCCTTTTTCAGCTTTTCAACTATTGAAACAGTAATGACAAAAAAGGATGCAAATTTACTCTGGTGTCATGCTGTGCCACAAAGCTGGAAACCCAGATGCAACCTGCTGCTCCACTGCCAAAAACCCTACTGATTTATTTGCTGGCACACTGGGCAGAGATGAAAATAATGGTGACCTCACCCTGCCATTCATCTGCCATCATGAGCAAAATTACATTTGCTTGCAAAGAAAAATGGTTGAACTTGAACAAGTTTTTGTCAGCACTCAACTGGATAATAGTAAATACATGGGAATGCCTGTAATGTGTAGATATGGCTAAAGGGCACCGCACTTAATTGTGCAACTGAGCCAGAAGGCTACAGCTGGTGCTGATGTTCAAAGAGAATTAGAGCATAAAGGAGCAAAGGAGGCTGTCTGAGAGTTTTTTGTGAAGTGAAGATCACACAATGCAAGAAGTTAAACAGTGAAGTTGAGTAGAGGCTTCATGCTTGAAGCAATGTGCTTGCAGTGTCATTCCAATGTCGTTGTGATTGAAAATATATGCTCCCAGTTCCTTTACAACCACCTTATGCAGCAATTTCATCTTTCCATTCAAATATGAGGCTGGAACTTTTTGAATACAAGGCCAAGGCTATGCACAGCTCTATAGCTGCTTTACAAACTGTTCTGTACTCAGACACATGCCATTTGTCCAGCAGCAGCCTGCAACAACCCGATCTACGCAAGTGTGGTTACAGTGATGCATGAGGGCTCTATATGGTAGTCAGCTAATGGACTAGAATGTATTTTGCTTGTTGCATGAGGGGCACATAAGCCCCCGCCAACTGCATTACGGATTGCAAATCTAATTCTGTATCGACATACAGGGTACATTCCAATACCCAAAGCTACCCTGCTGTTTAGCATGTCTGAAAAAGATTCAATATGCCCCAATCTAGAGTCTGTTAAATGCTGTATGCCAAAAATAGCAGCATCTCCTTCTGCATTTGGTTGTATTTTGCAGTATGCAAGCCCACATGCTTTCGTGGCCATTCTTGACCCGCAATCCTCTGCACAGCTGAAGCTACGCCGCATACGTCACGGTGTGTCACGCGAGTATAAACAAGCTTGAGCCGCAGACAGAGCACAGACAGATGACAGTTCAGTTGACAGATGACAGAAGTCGCAATGACAGATGACAGTGCATTCAAGTGTTACCCTGCTTTCCAAATCACTTTTTTTTTTTTTCCTTTTTGCTACAAATTTTAGTGCAACAGACCGTTATGGATGTATGAGCAAGAGGGTGAAAGTTCAAGGCGCCATGTTATGTCGGAGTGATATATTCCAATTGTATGCACACTGCAAATGACAGTGCAAACTTTGTAAGAGCAGCTGCAATACATAATGAAAGCAAAAAGATAAAGAATACGAGTTAAAATGCACAGATAGTAAATTCCCGTTACAACAGGCGTTTAGGTTGATCACTGCATGTGTAAAAATGAACATTTAGGAGTGAAAGAAGACCAACAAGGAGGAAGCTAAAATCAAGCTGTGGCTGTGAAAGACTGGCGAAAACTACAAGAAATATTCTAGTGTATAAATAGCTGGGCCAAATATTTGAAGGGAACCAGGAGGGAGCAAACCAATTAAACCTGTTTTTCAGTGGGTTTGATAAGATGACCTCAGGTCAGCTACACAGGCCTCCCTCTGTCCTTTAGTTCTAACAGCACAGTTAGCATCATAGCTCCTTAGCAATTCTAAACTATCCATCAAAGATGCAACAACGTTGCCCTTTCCCCTAGCCAATCCATCCATCACTGCCACCTTTTAGCATGGACTTTGCATGCTTTATGCAAAAGCGAGCGTTGAAAGTAAGTGTATGTCCTGTGGCAAAGGTTCTCCCGCTCGTCTGTAACCTCGTCGTGAACCTGAAATTAGAGACCACTGTACATGATGACCTGCTGCCACTATTCTACAGAGGATTTTTCTTCGATACAGAGGCTCCTTTTTTTAATGATTTCTCCATAAATTCAAAGACACTTTAATACTTTCTGGATGTGTGAGGTCGACAGTGTCAGAAATTCATAGATTATTCATGAAATAGTGGACACATAGTAGAGAGTTTCCAAGGTCTTGACAGAATGTGGCAGATATAGTAGAGCACAAATGATACGCTATATTTTAAATGCTTATTATGATTTCTATTCTAAGGCCTGTACTAAATACAGCCATGTCTGTGTTACTCTAAAATTGCTGTTGTCCTATATGTCAAACCATATGTTTTGTTTGCTTTTGCTTACCTGGGAAATAACATATTCCTTATATTACAGTCAGCAGGAAGGAAATAGATTGTTGCAGGTGTTTTTTTTCTTACCTTCCACTGGATCCATTACAGTAAAGAATGGCATTTCTAGAGAGTGGAAGTTATTTTATTATTGGTAGAAGTTAAGAAGTGTGCAGCTGACTTATGGCAAAATCTGAAAGTGTTCTCCAGCTCCCATCTACAGCTTTGTACAAATGCTGCTCTCTGCTATCGAGCCATCTGATGCCAAAAAAAAACACAAATACAAACAGTGACCTCTGTGAACAGTAACAATAACGCAGCAGTGGAGACTGTGCAGTCACTAATCTTCTTAATTCTCGAGAACTCTACACTTCAGACTTTATCTTTGACTCTTGACTCATGGTGATGAGTGAGGATGTCCCTTCCAGAAAAGAGAGATAAAGAGCAGTAGCTATAAGAGTCTATAAATCTGTATATTGGTCAATTTTCTGTGAAAAAATAACTTACTCACTCTTTTTTTCCAGCTATTTAATTGGAGCAAAGAACTACTCCACCAGTAAAAGCGGGGAAAAATGAAAACAACAATGAAACCCTTGTGCCTCATTTTCAGATTTTCACATTTAGAAATACCAACGCCGCACATATTATCTCAGACCTGTGAGAAATTGGTGAAACACTGAAGCAGCAGCGTGCCTCCGTTATTGTTGCTGAGAGGATGACCTTCACGCTGACACCTCGGCACAACTGTTTGCGGATTATCTGTAGTTTTTTCTTGCCGAAAGGGACCAACTAGTAAAAATGCCTCAATCAAACCAAATTGGGGGACCTGAATATGCCCGTGGTAGGATGGTGCAGAGTTTGTTACTGCAAATGTTACCTCATGCTGCGGAGCGTCCACTTAAGCTACTTGTTTGAACATAGTTTAGAGAGTGAGGGGGAGACAGAGAGGGACATCGGCTGTTTACAAATGAGGCGCCTCGCAACACCAGCTAATCATCAGCACCCCAAGTGCACATCCTTCTCTTTTAATTTGGTGACAGGCTTTTTGTTTTTCTCCAGCTGAAAAGACGCTGACTCGGGTGCAGTAGCTGTGACTGTGCATGGATGCATGCATAGATGTGGGTACATATGTGTGAACATATACTGCAGATAAACAAAAAAACCCAAATATACACTCGCATGCTCTTTTTTTGTTTCATCTGAGTCCTGGGAACTGAAAGGCCTCGCAGAGCAGCAGTATAAAAGGGAGCTCTGCTGGTCTGAACTGTTTTAGATGTAGTGTTGCCTTCAATGAGTCCACTCATCGGGTTGAATGGTTGATTTTTCTGCAGCTCTTATAAATTCTTAAGTATTTTTTTCTCACTGTCCTGGTTGCCACTTATGCTTCTGTCCCCTTTTCACCCTCAGTCCCTCTTCATACAGCTCTTCCTTTCTCTTCTTCTGCAGGATCAGAATTTCATATTTGTCTCTTTTCTGTTTGTTGACACGCGTTTGATTCCTCCACCTTCTTCCCAACACCGCCGCTATTGAGCCACCGAGTGATGCCCGTGATTTAATGAGCTCTGACGTGCCGAATCCAGAAACTTTCTTTTATGGATCAATCTTTTTATCCCTTCACGTTGACCTTTTCTAATTATGTCAGGTGAAAGTTAAATTGCTGATCCTTGGTTTAATTACCATCTTTTTAATCATGCAATAGCAAGCTGTTTTGGCTCAGTGGTTGCTATATCAGCACAAAGAGGGAAAAGAACTGACATGCTGTTTTCATTTCCATAAGAAAGTACAATCTGTTATTATTCCCAAGTTTAAATGCACAAAAATCTCAATACAGTATTAATCATGTAAAAATTCTTCTCTTT